TTTCTGGTGAATCCTCTCACTACCTCCTGCACCTCTGGCTGTACCTCATTTCTGTATGCATCAGTAAATCTTGAATGAATGAATAAAGGCCAATGTGAGAATATCTTGGGATTCATGGGCCCCCAAAATTCTGTTTGTACATTCATTTTATTGGGAAGATAGTCCTTATCTTATTTCAGACACTAAGAAGCCTATATCTAAAACAGAATCTGCATCACTGGTTTATTTTTTGTTATCCTTGCAGTGCATAGTGTTACTAGGAACCATTTTCATGTGGTGATACCAAAAATGAAAGGCATATATCACACTAAATAAAGGAGTTCCTATCCTATTACTTATTGATATGAATTTCTTTCGATTCCTAATTACACTAAATTCCTAAGTAACTCAAACTGAAGAGCTTTATGGCTGAAATGACTGAATATTCATTCAGGAATGAGTGACTATTAGTTATAACAGATAAAATCATATATTCCAAAACAGTCCTTACCTTCAGACTGCATTTGCTGACACTGGTGACTTCATGTTATATTTGCTAGAAGTCACTAAATGTAACATAGCAATTTGATTTCCTTGCAGAGTACTGCTGTCTCATTGCTGTCATTGTTAATGACTAAGATTATTCCAACTCTTTGGTTTTTGCCCAATTTCTTCTCCAATGGAATCTTGGTAATGCTATAAATACCCTTCTCTTCTATTAATTAATAATCAAAACATGATTTCTTTAATTTATATCTTTTCCCTTTCCCTACTTTATCAATGCAGGTGACAGGAAAACTCTTGTCTGCTAGAAGTCATTCCCTTTCCCTCTGTTTTGCTTTCAATCCTAGGAAGTTCAGTGACCTTTTTTGAGTATAAATGACCAACCGCCGTGCCACCCATGTCTTTTGGTATAGCAAAACATTTGCATACTTTACAAATTAGACAATGAAAAATGGTCACTTTGATTCTTAAGCTGACCTAGAATACAAAATCAGAAATCCTATAGATGGTAAAGCTACCTATTTCTGTTTTTCAGTATATGTTGTAGAAGTCATATATACTCTTCTGTTAACTGATTGCATTTTACTTAAGAGATAAAACTTATACACTTCCAAGAATATACACCAGATTTGGGTTTATGTTTTTGGATAAGAGAAGTCTACGGAAAAAATCATGTGTTTCAGACTTTCTGCTTGTAAGTTAATCTTTTTTAGTAACACAAATGATATAGTGAACTATTTTTGTAAATGTCTCTCTTTATTTGAAGGTCATCAACATTCCATAATTTTGTCAAAATTGCACTGACCAAAAACCCAAAAAAAAGACCAACTGCTGAAAGACTTCTGACTGTAAGTCATTGAAATTGTAAGGGAGTTTTCTGTAGTCAGACAGTAATTAGACATATCACTCAAACAAAAGTATGTAGGTGTTTTTAATATAAAAATGTTAAGTGATTTCTTACTGTAGGGATCAGCAAACTTTATGTCTAATAGATACAAATATTTAACTTTGTGGGTCATACAGTCACCATTGTAACTACTCAATTTTGCCCTTGTAGCACAAAAGCAGCTTTTAATAATACACATTAATGTGTACGACTATAATACCTAGTAAAACTTTGTTCATGAGAGGCAATGCGCTGATTTTGCTCATGAACTGTAGTTTTCTAATCGCTGCCTTGAGAAAACTTCAAAATGTTGCTGTCATCTAAAATTAATTGCTTTCCTTGTTTTCTTAGGTAAATTTATAGAATACTTTCTCTGTATATATTTGTACTTTTTTTATTAGAAAAACATGAAAACTTTAAGTGTCATAAAACTTAATGTCTTGGCCCTCCCTGGTGGCGCAGCGGGTTAAAGCACATCATTGAGAATCTAAGGCTGCTTCCGCATGAGTTCGATTCCCGCCTGCCCCGGAGGTGACCACATGGTGTGGCGGATCTCTCCTGACCCGCCCGCTGCTCCCCTCAGCAGTGTACTTCATCTGTCTGCCTGTTCTGTACCCCACTCTGTCTCTGGTGAAGCCTCTCACCGCCCCTGAGCCTCTGGCCTGTACCCCTGTTCTGTATGCACAAATAAATCTTAAAAAAAAAAACAAAAAACTTAATGTCTTTACATTAACAGCTTTATCAAATTAAATATATTAATGTAGAATAAACACCCTTTTTTTCTCATTATGATTATTTCCTATACCAGTGTACTTATTTGCTTATCACTGTAATAACATGAGTAAATAAATGTCATTGGTAACATTGTAATTTTGCAATCTAATATAGTTTAGGTAGATTTACACAGAGAATTTATTACATTATAATATAGTTATCCCACAAAGCCATTTTAGTTTTATCTAACTATTACAGTTATATAGCTTTATAACTATAAAACTTATTTCTGTGAATAGTAGATTTTCTCATTTGTGTTGGGATTCCCAATATGCTTATCTGTAATAGCTACTGAATGGAAAAGTACAAAAAAAATTTTCTGTAAATCATTGTAAAAGCCCTGAAATTTTGGTTTTTTTGTTTGTTTGTTTTTACGTAGCATACTTTCGTAGGGCAGCCAGGTCTCTCTAGGGCCCTGGCAGTTGAACTGTTGGACAAAGTGAATAATCCAGACAACCACGCTCATTATTCTGAAGGAGATGATGACGACTTTGAGGTAAGGAAGTATTTACAACTGTTTGATATGGTCTTAGACTTTGCTTTCCAGTTCACTCTTCAGTTAATTAAATAAGTTTCAATGACAGACTAATTGACAATGTAAATTCTACCTATCCTGGATATAATTGCTAATTGATGCTTTTTTTATTGTAATATAATATTTTTAACTGGTTGATATATATTTTTTACTGTAGTTGTAGAGTGAAGATTATTGTTCTTCTTAGCATTATATTATTTTATTTTATTTACTGGTTTGCATGAAGATTTTAAGAGTTAGCTGAGATTAGAATCAGATCTCTCCAGAAATCAGAAGTGGATATACTTTTCCTTTTCCCAAAACTTTTCTGCAGAGGTTATGTGTGTATATCAAGAACAACTACTTCCAAGAAAATGAAAGTTTTAAGAACATTACTTTAGACTAAAAGAACAAAAGTTCAGCTGTAAAACATTTGCTTATTATCTTCATAAAAGAGACTCCCTGGAAATCTAATTGGCCTTTTTTGTAGTTTCTCTATAATAGAAATCATTAACAGAATACAAATATTTTTAAATTGAGGTTCCTATAGAAAATTTTACCCTTTCCAATACTTACTCAAAATTGTTATTCTTACATAACTTCAAGTAGAACTTTTCATAACTATGCTTGCCTTTTTTGAAAATAATATAAAATTATTTGAATATATCCTTAACAATACAACTTCTCTACTTCAGCCATCATTCACAGATTTGTGATTAATAAATAAGACTGTAATTTCTTAAATTTAAAAAAAATTATTAGGTATGAGGGATTCCGGCTCAGTGCCAGGTCCCTGGTTATACCTATATATAATACAAGGCTAATTTTCACCAGTGTCACTTCCTCTCCTTTTATGATTCCTTTTTCTGTGTGTCTCTAAATCTATCTGTTGTTTTTATGCATTTCTTTCCCTTTATAGCTCTATCTTATGCTACAACTGTAGAACTAAACTTTATTATTGTTTATTGAAGGAAATTTTCTATTTTTTAATTAAGTTTTAAATAATAAAATATAAGTATCATGATAATTGCTAACATTCATTAGATAGTCAATGTGTACCAAATATTGGGCCAGATACTTTTCATGTTAACTACTTAATACTGAAATAGCCCTGTGAATAGGGTACTGTTGCTATCTAAATTTCATAAATGAGGAAACAAAGGGAAAAGAACAGAAGTAATTTGCCCAAGATCATATGGCTAGTAAATAGCAGAACTAGTATTTGAATCTAGGCAAACTAACTCTGAAACCTACTCTTTCAATTAATACAGTGAATATATACAAGATTTCTGTATATATACAAGATAATCTTTAAACAATATTTGAAAAAACTAACCTTTGTTCCTAATTGTTTAGTAATTAGCATACTGCTACATAGTAGGTACTCACTTGTTGAATGTTAATGAAGTTTGTTTGAAAATATTGAGTAAACTAGCCAAACACATTTACAGACTTGTGATTAATAAATAGGATCTTAATTTCTTACAAATAGAAAAAAAAGGTTAAATTAGTGGAACTGGACATTACTTTTTTGATCCCTCAATTTCATTGGTTACAAATAACTAAACTTTTTATTTCTCACTCCACTTTACTGGGTTCCCAGATTCACTCTACATGTTGAGTTTTGTCTTTTTGTTCAGTGATACTACCATAATCTTCAGTTCTTGAAGTGTAAAACCTTGTACCAGGTACACAGTGGTATATGAGATTGACACTTCCTGTTCATATGCTATGGTATGGGCTCAACAGAAATTCAGAAATACCAATAAGTAATTTACAGTTGTGAAAACTATTATACCATGGGAAACATAAGGTGGTTTGAAAGCATATTATAGGGACAAGAAAGGACTCACTTTAGGAGCAGTATTTATGGTGAAACTGTCTTCTAACCTGAAGATAGAATTAGAGAAAGAAAACAGGCAGAAGTAATTTTTTTTTTCAGGTCAAAGTATTTTGATCAGAGAAAGTAATTGTTTTCTTGAAAGTTTAGATGATGAAAGAGAAACCATATGCTTGAGGAAATGAAAAAAAGGTTAGTCTCCTTAGAACAGAAAACAAAACAAGGAAGGAAGTGATAAAAGATGAGGTTATTGAGCCAGATAGTAGCCATTTCAAACCTGGTTAAAATTTGGAACTTAGGGTTAACTAAGTGCAGCTAGGTAGGCTGTGACATGAGCAGATAAGCATTTTGTAAAGATCTCTCTGACTTCAGAATGGTGACACTATTCATTAAACTCTGTTAAGAGGCTGCTGAGGTTAGTCAAAATAGAGATAGTGATGTTACAGTGGTAGAGCAGGAACGAGGAGTGACATGTAGACTAATTTGTAATTTCATGAGAGTTGGTGCTTATATGAAGATAGACAACAGAAAATGTAGGATTAAAAACAGATTGCTGCTATACCCACGTAAGTACAAAAGTGCCATTTATGTTGAGATAGGAACAACTAGAGTAAAAATCTAGGTTGGGAAGAAAGATGAGTTTAGTTCTACATGTAATAATTTTCATATTATATAACATTCCAAATGGAAGTATTATAAAAGCTAAATATTATATGGTTTATCACTTGGTGATAAAAGTTTGGACTAGAGGTAATAAATTGTGGAGGCAGTAGATGTAGCATGAGCGCCCAAAAGAAGCATGTAGAATGAGAAAGAGGATGACCTCGATCAAAATGATGAAATTTATTCTAGAATTTAAGGATCAGATAGGCAAAGAGGAAAAGGAAGTTGATAAGGAACTTTAAAAGAAGGAAGAAAAGTGTCAAGAAGAATACTGTGTTGGAAATTAAGTTTTAAAAGTCTGATCACACCTGAAATGTTATACTGTTGAAAATTTTTTAGTGATTTAAAAATAATATTTTATTTAAAAAATGACTTTGTATTTGGATGGTGTATTTAATTATTAAAGTAACTTCAGATAGTGGTGGTGAAGCTAGATTGGAGTAGTTTGAAAGCTAACTTTAGTAATTTATTTATGAAATAGGGGGATAATAGAATAGTAACTAGAGGAAAAAGAGTTAGCAGATGATTTATTTTTTTGTGGGTGGGAGGAAGTAGGAACAGACTGAAATTCTTTGGAATTTAAATTCTTAGGAAAAAGACAATGTCATGTCATTACCCTTTCAGTCATTATTAGTTCTTTACATTAGTTGACAGTGTAGCTAAAAGCCAGTCTTATATTGATGATTTCTATGATGTAATCAGCAAGGTCATCCAAAAATGTGAAGGAAAATAGTGGAGTTGAAGAGTGTGGAGGTGTGAGGCAGTAAATAAATAGTTGGATGGAATGACTATAGAGATTTGTTTTGAGGCAAAGTTGAAGATTCAGATGAGATGAATTTCACTGTTTTCTGCAGCATAATTTCTTCTAGGAGTTATTGGTACTTACTGCACATGTAAATAAAAGGATAATTAGTTGAATTTATCCAGGCTATCAGTACTATCTACTGAAGGACAGCAGAGAAAAAGGAATTTAGGATATCAGCAAGTGATTGGTTGAAATTTTAGCCACCAGATATAAACTGGATAGGTAAATGAGTGAAGATAGATGGAATTTAGTATAAATTCAAAGGTCAAAACCAATGCCAACCTTCAGGTTGTGATCTTAGGAGAGGAGTGTATTGAAGTATGGAGAATGTCTTTAAAGATGAGGTCAGTAAACTCTAGACCAATGACTACATCCATCTAAGCTTTTGAAGTCATTTGGTATGATAGTAGAGAAAAAAATATGTGTGTGAACTATAGCTGGAAATTTCATAAATGAGAATTGAGCTGAAGCTATTGCTTCAGAAGAACAGATTATACAGAAGGGTAGAAGAAACTTCTTATCTAATTTACTACAATACTCTTACTCACTCTTCCTATATCCCATATTTCTCCCTTCCATCCTTTTATACACTTAACATATTATTCTTAAAGCTGCTTTGGTATTGCCACTCCCTTTCTGTGATATCTCAAATTTTTTTCTTTCCAGAGAAAATAAGAACACTAGTATGGCATTCAGAGCCTTTCATGATCTAGCATCACTAATCTGTCTTTCCAGCCTTGTCACCTTTTCACCTAATCTTTACTGCAGCCAAGTAATAACCAATCTCAGATCCCCATAAACACTCCACAATTCCTTTTTCTTTTTTCATCACTTTATTCATCTTCTTTATTCATATTCTTTCTGATATATAAATGTGGAAGCTGTCTAAAATAATATTGTTCACTATTGTATATCTGATGCCCACTTGTCCTTCAAGGCCCCAGATTAGATTACAGCTGTGTCATGTCATTACCCTTTCAGTCATTTCTCCTTCTGGCTATTAATAGTAATCTTAGTGAATGGCATTTACTACTTTCTAATCTTAGAAGTATTTGTGTGCTTTATCTTCCTAGACTATAAACTTTGGGAAGATATTTGTCTGACTTTCTTTGAATCTTTTCAACATTTTATGCAGCTTCAATGTAGAATAAGTGAATTAACCTTCAAAGTATCTTAGTGCTCTTTGCCTTTTTTATGTTTATCTTATAATATATTAGCAAGTAATCATATTTGTCAGTAAATGATCATTTAATTCAAGAGAGAACGTTTAGCCTTTAATCACTGAAATTTTTAAAGTGTGTATATATTATGCTTATATTCACAGCCCCATGCAATCATTCGTCATACCATTAGATCTACAAACAGGAATGCCAGAGCTGAACGGACAGCTTCAGAAATAAATTGTATGTGTTTGATATACATTTTCAATTGGTGGCTTTGGAGGGTTGAGCTGGGTCTTCGTATACTTTGTTTTGTGGAATAATAAAATATCTAACCGAGGCGACATGCTTTAACTTATCAGAATGCCTCTACGACAGGGGTTGCTTTTTACTTTGTAATGGAATTTACCCTGTATATAATCAGTTTTTATTTTCATTTATGAAGGTAATACGTACCCATTGCAGAAATTTGCAAGAGGAAAAAAATAGAAAATCTACATTGTCCATGATCACGTTACCCAGTACCAACCACAAATAATATTTTGTTGAATTTCCTTCATGTTTTTCCCATGTATATTTTCACATGGCTGAATTTGTATTATGTATAAAATCCTACATAGCCGAGAAGTATTTGCCATGTATTAGCCTATCTTTTCAAAATGTTTTGTTTAATGATTGCATCCTGTTTCATTGAGTTGATATGTTGTACAACAGTTTCCCATTACAGGATGTTTGGATTGGTTTGGTTTTTCTTTAATCAGGTTAATATTATAATGAATTATTTCTAAAATGTGTATTTCAAAGGAGAAATTAATTTTTATTCAGTAAATCTCTGAGTTAAAAATTTTGTATCAAAAGTATTTCTGACATTAGCCATATTATTTTAGAAAAACTGGTTTGGAAATTTATAGGTATAGTTGTATTGACTTAATGCATACTTGTTTTTAAAAAGATCTAAAGTAGAATAAAGTAAGTTATGAATAAAAAATTTAAACCACAACAATTAAATATTTAGGCTAATTAGAATAATTGAAGATGTGCATTTTTTTAAAGTCTGATTTTACTTGTCCCCAAATTATTTCTGGCTTCTGGATACAGTTTTGGAAAGCTAAGTTCATGCAAAGTTAGAATGTCTATCCCTTATCAGCTGTTTCAGCGAAGCCTTTTCGTATTTAAGCTTATAACCCTTTTGTTAGGACCCTGATTGCTAATATGTCCTTGTGCTTCCTTCTTAATATAATCTCAAGTGACACTCTGCACTATAAATACCTGACAGAAGAAGTAGCAAAGTTGATAACTGCATTATAAATCTATCTTCATTATTTTGTATGGCTGTGTAGTATTCAATTGATGTAGTCTAAGTTAAGCATCTTATGTAGAAAGCTTTTGGATTTTGTGTCATATTTAGCAAGGCCTTCTTCATTCTACAGTTATCAAAGAATTTTTCTATAGTTTCTTCTTCAGTTTTCAATTTCATTATTTAAAATCTTTTTTTTATTTTTGATGAATAAGGTATTTATTTGGTAGCAAGTTTGGCATATGAATTCAACTTTGGTTTCTCTCTGACTGAATATTCATTGTTTTCAAAGTTATTTACTAGAAAGTTAACCTTTTCACTGTTAAATTTTATATGCTACCTAATGCCCACATATATTTTCAAACCCTTTCTGGAACTTTTATTCTATTGGATTAATATGCTCTATCATATGTTGATAGCATATTTTCTATTATTATATCATCATAGTATTTCTTAAAATCTGTTAGGATTAATCATCTTATACCCCCCACTATTCATTTACATACCTAGTCGCTATTCTTTTATTATATTTGTCTATTGCATTTTCCCCACTTAAACTTAAAAATAGCTTATCCAGTTTAGAAAAACTTCAGTGTTTTTAAGGAGCTTCACTCATTACTTTATTAGCTTTGGTATAGCTGACATCTTTATGAGTACTTCAGAGGTAAGTTCAAGATATAGCTCTTTCAGAAGTAAACCTGAAGTACTATTATCTTCATAGAGTGAATGCTATGGATTCAGCTACCAGACAGAAATGATAAAAGGTGAAGGTTATTTTATTGGTGTTATGTCTTAATTTTCTCAAGTACTCTTATATGTCTCTCAGGAGTGTTTACAGCTTTGTTTTTGTTTGATTAACAAATTTTTTTGATATACCTAGTTATATATATTTTTAATTTAGCTGGTAACTTACAGACAGTAAAATGCTTAAGTGTATGCATGATGAGTTTCTAAATTTGAATACACATAAAACTTCTTCCAGATCAAGATATAAAACATTATCCAAATCTTTAAAGGTTTTTTCAAGCACCATCTTTTCTGTTGTTCTATGTCCTCCAGCATTTCCACTATCTAGTCTAATCACTGTTCTAAACTGCTACAATGAATTGGTTTTATTTGTTTTTGAACTTTAGGTAAATGGGATCACATATGTTTCCTTTTTGACTGGTTTCTTTTGCTCTGCATTATAGCAGTAGTTCTTTGGTTTCATTATAACATACTGCTGGGTTATTGGAAAAGTTATAACACCAGAAAAAATTCATCATGACTTTTCTGACAACCCAGTATTTCATTGTATGATTATACTGTAATTACAGCCTTTTTTTTTTTTTTTTAAATTGATGGGCACATGATTTGGTTCCAGTTTTTGGCTGCTAAGACTATTGTAAGAATTCCTAACATACACATGTAGTGGACATAAATAATTATTATGATCATGGCCTAGTCTAAGACCATTAGAGACAAATGTATGGTCCAAAATAATAGGCTCACTGACTCTGCTTTGAGAGAGAACACATGGCAGAGGAAGTGTGAAACATCAAACAAAAAGAATAGAGTAGGGTACACTGGAAACTTAAGTGACAACTGAAATAAAGTAGGAATATGTGTGAAAGTCTACACAGAGACCTGTTTCCTTGAAATCCTAAAATATTGTATTCAGAAACCCTTAATTTCAAGTATATGGGTTGGGAATTGATGATGCTTCTCTGTATCAGTTACTTAGACCTTCCAGGCAAGAATGGAGTGTTTCATTCTAATGACTATATTTAATAGAGCAAAGTTTCTAAGCATCTAGGATTTTAGAGAATGTTTCTCAGTAGAAAATGAGTAAGTAATGCAGAAGGGGGGGGGTCATCGTGTAATTCTTTAGATATGTAGCACATCCTTGGGAAGAATATTGTCTCTTGCTGACTTTGCATTTGGAGTTTGTTTTCTCAGCCTGATGAATGACAAAGCATATTTCTTTCTTAGTCTCACAGTCTTATTTTTTTAACTTGTCCTCTGAAAAATCACTTAGCAGTTGAGTTCAGTTACTTAGGAAACCAACTGATTACGAGGAATTGGCACTAAAGGTTAAGCTTTCCCCAAAGAAGTGAATGCAGCCCCAACAATTTTGTGATTTTTAGCTGATTCACAATGAGTCTTAGTAAGCAAGGATGAAAGCTGCAAAGGACAATATTAAGAGTAATGATTATCAACTCTTTTGTCATTGGACATTTAACCTTGTTTCCATATCTTGGCTATTGTAAATAATGCTGCAATTAAGGTAGGGCTGTATATATCTTTGTATTAGTATATTTGTGTTCTTAAGTAAATACATTTTAATTGATTGAGAGGCCTTCACATAGTTCTCCATAGTGACTACCATTTTACATTTCCACCAAGAATGTAAAAGAATTCACTTTTCTCCATATCCTCTTTAACACTTGTTTTTTTCTCTTGATGGTACCCATTTTAAGAGTCATTTATAACAATATGGATGCACTGACAGTATATTATGTTAAATGAAATAACTGACAGAAATACAAATACCATATGACTTATCTATAGACTATTAAACAAAACAGATGAATAAAATAAAAACTCTTAGATACAGAAAACATACTGGTCATTACTTGAGCGGCAAGAGCTTGACAGATGAAAGGGGTAAAAGTAGTCACGGGTATATGATGATGGATATTAAAGTACACTTTGGTGGTGATCATGATGTAGTATTTACAAATGTAGATTCACAATGCTGCATACCTGAAACACAAAATATCATAAACCCATATTATCACAATAAAATTTTGTTTTAAACAAATGGATACTCTACAAGTTTCATATTGAAAAGTTAGTAAGTGTAAACAATACAAAACCTTTAACTGACAAAGAGGGAAATAAATGTAGCTAAGAAAATAAAGAACTATTGTTGGCTTTGTTGAACAGTATATAACTCTTCTTTTTGCAGTCTTCTACTTGTGGTAGTTTTTTGTTTTTTTTTTTTTTTTATCCAGTTTGAGATGTCTTACTACAAACAGTCTTGCATTGATTTAAGATTGGCCAATGTCTTTTTAATTGAGAGGCATAAATAAAAGGTTCAACATCCTGATTGCCACTGAGATAGTTGTCAGTACTACCTGGCAAAATTCTGTTTATTGAGGTTAGAGAACAGTTTTCCAGAAGGCATTTTCTGAGTTTTAAATCTTGAGAAAAGATCATTTCAAAGGAAGCATTTCTTGGACATGTTTGAATATATAAAACTGTATATACTGTATAGGTCTCAGTTTTTACTAGACTGTAATATTGTAGAGATTGGATTTGGGAGCAGTATTCCCTGATATGTGAGATGCTCAGTTTTTAATTCATTGGGAGAAAGTAATGTGCTCCTGAGTGCGTTAACCTCACTGTTATTCAGATCAAAACAAACAAAAGCACTTTAGTGAGAAAGCCTAAGGATTTCTGAGATTTTACCCAAAGTAACTTTGAAAATTCCATGTCCTTTCTGTCTTACCTGAAAACTGAGGATGATAAAGTGGAGACTTTGAGTAGTATATGTCTTCAAACCCTGCAACCGAAGATAAGAGAATATGTTTATTTAATGAGAAAATTAATAAGATTTCCCATGTAGGGAATACAAACTTAAGCAATTACTTTCACTACTGTTAAAGTTGGGGTATTTTCTTGAAATAGACATTTAATTTATAACCAAAACAAAAACCTTTGTTGACAGAAAACTTTATGAAATTTTACCTGAAGTAATACATCTTTTTGTTCCTCTGCACCATGACATCAACTAGGATTGAAAAGAGAGACAGACAGACAAACACACTACATAGAAAATTTTCAAGTATATCACTTGAATCCTTAATAGATACTGTATTATGCAAACTTTTGTGGGTTTGTTTTACTTTGGTTTGTGTTTCAGCAGTTTGCTCTTGTGCCTAGATGCTTTTCTTACTGTTTGTTCTACTTTAGTTTCTTATAAGATGATATTTTTCACAAAGTTTAGAATCATTGTCTATTCAGATTTTCTCTTCTCTTTCTTCTTCTGGATTCCAGTTAGACCACTAGTAGTTGTTTCACAGGTCACTCAGGCTCCCTTTCCTGCATATGCAGATACAAGGTTTTTGTGCTCTCTGTAACTTACCAATAGTATCTGTTACCTTGACACACATTCACTCATCATCTATAGGGTTTAGTCTGCTCTTTAAACCCATCTGTGAATTTTATTTTCTGATCCTGTATTTTTAGTGCCTAGATTTTCTTTTTATATGTACACATATATTTATATAAAAGTTACAGTATACTTCTGTACTGTGACTTTCCATCTGCTCACTTTTATGTTCGTCTTTTCTCATAAAATGGTAAACATGTTTACAATAGCTTTTTTAAAAAATCTTGTGTTAATTTCAATATCAGGGTCATCTCAGTATTTCTATTTAATTTCTTCAACTGGTTATGTTTTCTATTTTCCTCCTTTTTTTATTTCCACCTAGTTTTTTTTTATTGTATATTGGATATTATTATACAACATTGAGCATCTGGATTTGTCCTCTTTATTCTAAAATATATTTGAAGAGATAAGAAGTCAGCTTGATCCTTTCAAGGTTTGTGTTAGGTTTTACTGGAATAATTATTAGCAAATATTTTCTCTAGATAGAAACTCAGATCTATCTTTCCTGGTATTGTTTTATCACAAAAATCTGCTTATAGCTCAAAACATTCTCTTGGCTATTTTCTGATACATCTTGCATAATCTTGCTTTATTTATGAGCACCTTAGCAGAAGACTTTCAGGAAACCCTCTTCATATATTTAGGAGTTTCTTTTTTATCCATATTTCTCATTTCTGGTATTCTGCCCATAAAATTCCCACTGTCTGCATCGCCTCAAATTCTAACCTTTATTTCTGCAATCAATGAGACTATCCCCTTTCTTGAATCCTGGTTTGGAAAATCACCATTAGACAGAAAGCTGTGCTAAATGTGGATCTTACTACCATTTTCCAAATCTCAAGGGTTATGACCCTGTGGTATCCTTATCCATTACCCCAAAATAGTGTTTATTATCATTTGAACACACACACACACACACACACACACACACACTTGGGTTGTTCATATGTAATCATTTATAGCAAAAGGGTAAGTCTGGCTCATTACTTTACTGCATCATCTTTTGGAATAAATCCAAAGGATCTATAGAAGACCTTCCTGCTTTTGAAAAATTCATAAGCCAGAGACTCAAAGTTACTGCCGGGATTTCTTTAAAATAAAACAAAGCAGGCCCTCCCTGGTGGCACAGCAGGTTAAAGCACTGCACTAAGAAGCTTAAGCCACTTCCACATGAGTTCCATCCCCGCCTGCCCCAGAGGTGACCACATGGCGTGGCAGACCTCTCCTGACCGCCTGCTGCTCCCCTCAGCAGTGTACTTTGTCCATCTGCCTGTTCTGCTCCTCACTGTGTCTCTGGTGAATCCTCTCACCCTCCACATCTCTGGCCTGTACCCCAGTTCTGTATGAATAAATAAATCTTTAAAATAAATAAGTAAATAAATAAAATAAAACAAAGCAGTTTCAGGTCCAGACTATGACATAGAACAACAATATTGAAGACTCTAGAATTCTGTGCTATAAATCATGGTATAGTAATAAAAGGCTAGTCATATGCATTTTTTTAAAGAACTGCTGCCCTTTCATATTAAAATATCATAAATGTTTATGATATAAATAAAAAACTCCCATTTTCAATCATGATAATGTTATTTTGGGATGCAGCTGATACCCTGCTATATTCTTAATAAGATTTTTGGAAATAATTTTCTCTATGGTTTATTTAAGTCTTAAAATGAACTAAATACATGTAATTCTTATTAATATGATAATTTCTATATTTGTACCTTTTAAAATTCCTTTTTGGGTCTGGTTGTCAGTATTTTTATTTTGTGACCATGAAAACCTATTTTAACTAGTTTTGTTTCAAATGTGTAATATGGTTCTTCAGGAATCACAGAAGTGGCTCTTGAATTAAGATTTTTTGGAGTTAAGAGATAAGTCACTAATGAACAGAAATTTCATTTTAGATTTTTTTTGGATTATTGTTTGGAATGTCTTCCAATCATTTATTGAAAAATTTATAACTTAATATTTTAATGTAATGAATTATTTAAATGCTTTCTATTATCTTATAAATCTTGTTTATAAATGTTTTTAGGGGTAAGAACAACTGGATCCTTTTTTAGTACTTTAAAAGAATACTTCCTTGCCAAGATTTTACTTAAGAACGTTGCATGTTGAGCCTCCCTCATGGTCAAAGGGTTAAGTCTCAGCACTATGAAGCTTTCAGCAGCCACTGCAGCACAAGTTCAATCCATGACCAGGGAGGTGACCCACATGGCTCAGCAGACCTCTCCTGTCTTACCCACTATTCCTCTCATCAGTGTAATTCCATAGATCTGCCTCTTATACTCCCCACTCTTTCTCTGATGAATCCTCTCACCCTTCACTTCCCTCCAGCATACCTCTGGCCTGTGCCCAGTTCTTGGATGCATAAATAAATTTTAAAAAAAAAATAATAATTTATGTCTTTATGATGTGAGAATATTTAAAATGAGATTTTCCAGATCTTTTAGTCACATTAGATTTTTGAATTTTAAAATTCTATATACATCATGATAGGTTTAAAAGCCTCCTTTTCTCTTTCAGAACATTTCATATAAAAGAAGTTACTCTGGATATTAGAAATCAGTCTAACTAGGCTAAATGAAAATATTCAGCAAAACATGATATGGTATTTCTGATTATCTAGTTTGACAAATATTATTTGGCCTTTTTTAGCTCATCTATGCCATAATTATAGCTTAAGTTAGCTTAAAACAGAGTCTGCAACCTCAATAGATAAAAGTCTTTTAAAGTGTTTTCTTGGTCATCCTTTTTTAATTTTTTTTAAATCTCTTGTACTGTTTGATTTCCTGACTCCATCCAAGAATTATGTAAAGATATTAGGAAGATATTGAATTATTACATTCTTTTGATAAGCTTAATAAAGGGATATAATTGGAAGAAAAATAAGTACAAAATTTTCTTTTTCTTTCTTCACTCTCCCTTCCCTCTTGATTGTCATTACATTTCCAAAATAACCCTTCAAAATTGAGTTTATATATGTCATTTATATATTTTGCAGTTGACAAATTACAATTTGAACCTCCTCTGAGAAAAGAAACAGAAGCACGGGATGAAATGGTAGGAATTGTGATATTTAAGGTATTTTACAGTTTAAAATTTGAGAAAACAGTAAAGTGTATTTTGATGAACATACTCTTTTAAAGCGTTAATTCTGGTACTGTATTTCACATATCCAAGTTTTAAAAAGCTTAAGTTAGGTTTGATTTGAATATGGTACAATATAATTACAATTTTAACTATTTTTCACTTCTTAGTCTTTTGAAGAATTTCCTTGAAGTTAATGAAAATATGGAATTTATTTAGCTTTAAACTCTCATGGTCTTTTTTCATATCAATTCTATTAAATTCATAGTAAATTTTATGTTGCCTACCAGCTTTTAAAAGTATTATTACGTTAACTTTTCTTATGCATTGCTTTTATTTTGGCATTACTATTTTAATAACCCTTTCTTTATCTGAAAGAAAAGTAATAAATAAGTCATAACTAGAATCACCTTAGCATCACTTTTTTTGTATGCTTCAGTAAAGGTATAGGGTAACTGTCTTCTGTTAATGAATCTCTTCATCCTTAACATTTAGATATAGAGCTCTACTTACTGTATATTTTTGTATGGTAAACCCTCAATTTCCATGCTAGCAGAAAAAAATAGCAGCAATAAATTAACGAGAATTTAATAACATAATTATACACCATGGATAATTAATGATTTTATGATACAAATAATTGAAAGTTTTTTCTTCTTGTTTTAGAATGTACTAGCATGCTAGTGAAGAAGACTTGTCACATTTGAATCTATATTTAGTATGCTTATGAAATCTTTTAAGTTTATCTACTGATAGAGTCTTGAGTCATTGAAGCAAATATGTCAAGTGATAATAGTTCTAACTGGAGAATTAAAATATTAAAAGCCAATATAATTAATAATATCACATAGAATATTGTCGTTAATCAAATGAGGTGTTATAATACTAACATTTTAAACAAAAGTTATAATACTGTTTTCACAGGGAATGTCATCAGACCCAAACTTTGCATTACAATGGAATCCTTTTGTTGATGGTGCAAATACTGGCAAGTAAGTTATTTTCTAATTTAATGACTATATTTTATTTGATTATGTAAGAATATTATTGAGAATGGGGAAGTGATTTATTGTAAAAATTTTAAATTTCATCTTTAAAATGTTACACTATACATTGATCAGTGTAAAATTTCTGACTTTGAATCTGGGATTGGCCAACTGTGGCCTATGTGCTAAATCTAATCTACTCACTATTTATTGTATAGGCCACAAGCTAGAATAATAATTATATTTTGTAATATAAGTTAAATGTGAAAATTATGTAGTTTAAAACGTCAATATCCATAAATGAAAAGTTTGTTATAATACAACCATATTCATTAGTGTATTATTTGTCTATGGAGGTATTCACACTACAACAAAAGAGTTGAGTAGTCATACTCACTGAATGGTTTATAAAGGCAACAATACCGTCAGGCCCTTTATAGGAAAAGTTTGCCAATTCATGAAAAAGAATACAGTCTTTGGGACTAGAACCTAAGAATCTTGAAAATTTCCAATTGATTGTAGTGATTATGAATAAATATATGGAATCAGTGGCTTAAGTCAGTGATTCCAAAACTTTGATGTACCTGAAGGACCACATGGACAATCTGGAAATCTTGTTTAAATGCAGATTTTATTCATTTATAAAAAAGTTTCAAGATAATGCCTATGTTGCTGATCTGTGGATCAAACTTGGAATAGCAAAGGTTTTGATGATAATAGCCATTTGAATCTGTGAGTTCCAACTCTAAAATTCAATATTTTTTATTGTTAAGTATAATTTAATTTTTATTACATATAAAATATAGGGAAGCATAACCATAAAGTAAAAGGACATTGTATTCACTAATAAAATCTTTATATTATATTCATGCAAATGCTATTTGATAGAATAATTTCTTAGGTCTTCCTGTAGGCTTTAAAAAATATGCTTTCTGGTCTTTTTGTTTTACATCCTTGAATATATAACACTTTAATGAACATTTAAATCATTGTTTTATGTTATGTCCATTTATTACCATCTAAGTCACATTTTTCTCATTGTATTAGATCAACCTCAAAACGTGCAATACCGCCTCCCTTACCTCCTAAGGTGAGCTACTTAAAGATTTTGAACAATAAATTCTTCCTTAAATAATAAAATAATTACATTTGAAAAAAAAATATTTGAAGTAACATTGATTTATAACACTGTATTTGATTTAGGGGGATAGGTCCACATCTCATCAGATTTCTGTTACCACACTACCCCCACCATCAAGGCAATCCATAGTCCTTACCCTGGACCACTGAACCCCCTTGCTGCTTTATTTCCCTGACCCTTCCTCTCCCACTAGTAGCCTCATTTCTGCAGTTGTTTGTAGAATTTGTTTTGGTTAACTTTTTTGGTTCCTTTGCTTTTTGTCTCAATATTGCACATATGAGAGAAATGATGCAACATTTATCTTTCTCTTTCTGACTCATTTCACTTAACATAGTTCCTTCCAGTTTCATCATATTTTCACAAATGGCAAGATTTCCCTTTTTTAATAGCTCAGGAGTATTCCATCTTACATATATGCATTACATCTTATTCTGTTCTATTATTGCTCAGCAGTTTAGTTGTTTCCATACTTAGGCTACTGTAGATAGTGCTGTAATGAACAAAGGAGTGTGTACATGCCTTCAAGTTAGTGACTTTATATTCTTTGGGTAGATGGCTAGAAGTGGAATTGCTGAATCATGTGGTAATCCATTTTTAATCTTTTTGAGAAACCTTCATAATGTTTCCATAGCGGGTGGACCAGTCTACATTCCTACCGGGAGTGTACCAGGGTTCCTTTTTCTCCACCCCTTCACCATCATTTGATATTTGTTTCTGGGTTTTTCTGGATTGACTTTCACTGGAATTAAGTAGTATTTTGTTGTGGTGCTAATGTGCGCTTCTCTCATGATAAGTGCAGATGAACATTTTTTTCATGTGTCTGTTATGTGGGTTTGGCATATATAAATGGCCTTTATTTGAAGAAGTGACTGTTTAGCTCTTCTGCCTTTTTTTTTTTTTTTTGAGTTGGTTCTTCGTTTTCTTTTTGTTGCATTGTATTTCTTTATAGATCTTGTATATTAGCACCTTAGCAGACATCACAAATATTTTCTCCCATACAGTAGGGTGTCTTTTAGGGTGTCTTTTGTTTTAATGATAGTTTCCTTTACTATACTGGAGCTTTTTAATTTTATGAAGTTACATTCATTTTTATCTTTGTTTTCCTTGGCACTGGAGTTGAGTTCCACAAAACATCACTAAAGCCAACATTGTGGAGTGTTTTGCCCATTTTCTACTATGTATTTTGTGATTTCCATGCTAACTCCCAAGTGTTTAATTCATTTTGAGATAATATTTTGTGTATAGTCTGAGAAGTGGTTTAGCTTGATTTTTTTTCTGCATGTAGCTGCCCAGTTTTCTCCTCACCATTTCTCCATTTTTCATACCATACTGTTGGTTCCTGTGTGATAGATTAACTGGGCATATTACTATCGGTTTATTTCTGAATTCTCAATTTTATTCCATTGGTCTTTGTGTCTGTTTTTAGTCCAATACCATATTGCTTTTGATTACTACAGTTTTGTAATAGAGTTTGAAGTTTGGGAGATGATACCTCCATTCCTCTTTTTTTTTTGTCAAGATTACTGAAGCTATTTTGGGGCTTTTTGTTCATATAAGTTTCAGGATTGCTTGCTCTATTTCTTTAATGAATTTCACTGAAACATTGATAGAGATTGCAATTGATTTATATCTTCTTTTGGGTAAGGTGGGCAGTTTAACAATGTTCTTTCTTCTAATCTATGAGCAAAAAGATCTGTCCATTTCCTTTTGTTTTCTATTTCTCTTACCAGTGTCTTAATTTTCAGTAAATATGTCTCACTACTTTGTTAGTTTACTCCTAGGTACTTACTTTTTGATGTTATTGTAATGTGGTTACTTTCTTGATTTCTTTCTCTTCTAGTTCATTGTCTGCATATAGGAAAGCAACAAATTTTTAAAATATTTTTTACATTAGTCTTTATTTCGTACATTTTTTTTCATCTCAGCTGTAAACTCTGTAGACTTCCCACAACCACTTCACCCATGTGCCATCACCACAGTCCCATGTGCTCTTCCCACCCCCATTTTGGTCCTGTTGCCCTCTCCCCCATAGAATGTCTCTGGTTTATAGTGGACATTTTTACTTAATTATAGTTGCTTTTTTTCCCCTCCTAATCCCTACACTCCTGCTATGAGTGAAACCATTTGGTATTTTTCTGTTTCTTTCTGGCTTATTTCATTAAGCATGATCTTTTCCAGTTCCATTCATGACGCCACAAATGGCATGAGTTTATCTTTTTTGATTGCTGGGTAATATTCCATTGTGTATATTATACCACATCTTCTTGATCCAGTCATCTATTTTTGGGCATTTGGGTTGATTCCATATCTTCCTTATTATAAATAGAGCATCAATAAACATCAGGGTGCAGGTATCCTTTTGAATTATTGTCTTTGCGTCCTTTGGGTATATACCTAGGGATTGCTGGATCATATGGAAGCTCCATTTTTAGCAGTTTGAGAAGTCTCCACACAGCATAAAGCAACAAACTTTGGGTTTTTTTTTCTGCTACTTTACTGATTTATTGCTTCTAATATTTTTTTCATGAAGACTTTAGGGTTTTCTCTATCTGTATATACGTGTGTGAGAGCGAGATCTGAAAAAGTGGTTTTACTTCTTTTCCAGTTTGAATTCCTTTTATATCTTTCTTTTGCTATCTTGCCCTAGGTAGGATTTCTGTACTATGTTGAACAGTAGTGGTAATAGTGGACATCCTTTGGTCATGTACCTGAACTTAGAGGAAAAGCTTTCTTTCAGTTTCTCACTATTGAGTATCATGCTTGCTGTGGGTTTGGCATATATAAATGGCCTTTATTATGTTGAGGTATGTTTCTTTACTAGGTAAATTTTTTCTTATTAAAAATACTTAATTTGTTAAAGGATAAATACAATTTTCTTCAAGAAAGAAGTGTGAAGATTTAAAATGTAAACTTTTCATGAGAAACAATATTTAGTAGCTATTAGGAAAGGCAAAAATAGGTTTTATTATTTGAGAAAATACTTGACTACACAGGAGATACAGTTCATCAACAATCATGATTTTACTATATGACATTTCAAGGGAGATATATTTCATTAAGTCATTTTTCTTGCTTGTTTAGAATTACTAAATAGTTTGTGGATAATAAACGTAATTCTATTGGTGATAAATTTTGGTCAGTTTTGAGTTAGAGCTGATTAAAAAATCACATGTCAAGTTCATATTTGTGTTAGACAATAACTCAACTCTTAATTATTTTTGCTTAATTAACCCAATGAAATGAGCTAAATAGAAGGGTGGAAAAATGCGTGTCCTCTACCCCACTTAAGTCTTTGATACTTATTGGTAATGGAATAATACTGATTTTTATCCAAATTTATTAAAGCAATTTTTTGTCTTATTATCACTAGCCAAGAATAAACAGTTATCCTGAAGACAACCTTCCAGATGAAGAAAAATCATCAACTATAAAACGTTGCCCTGATTCAGACAACAGAGTTCCCCAAGTTCTCAGAAGACAGAGTAGCCCAAGTTGTGGTCCTGTAGCAGAGATTTCCTCTATTGGTATGGCTAGCAGTATTGGCAGTCCTGGAGTGCATACAACTAGATACTGTGATCTAGGTAAATGAGTAAAAGTGAAAATTAAACAGAAAACTATTTTATTCCTATTAAAATTTTTTTTTCCTCTGTCAGTCTTATCGCTAATTAGAACTTTGAGAAATTTTTTTAAAATTCCACAGGCTCTAGACTGAGTCAGATTCAACCCTTATTAAATCCCTTACTAGATATAATAAGATTTAGAAAGATGAGTAAATATCCCCTACAATAATTAACCGAAGGCACTAAAGACAGGAAAGAACATGGGTTCTTGAAAATTATTAAAGGGCATGGTGGAGCTGGTACTGGCAGGTTGTCTTGTAGAACAAGAAGGGATAAACAAATGCACTGAAGCATTAACATCTAAATTAAGCTGAAATACAGTCTAATGTAGGACTGTGAGCTTTTGAAAGATATATACTGGAAAATAAGCTTAAAAATGTAGATTGACATCAATTATGCAAGGCCTTTAATGTCAGCATAAGTAGACTAGATTTCATTTTACTCATCACCTTATGGAAAGACATTTATAGTTTACATGGATTAACACCACAGCTAAAGATGCAGTCCTCTACTACAACATCTAAAGAAACGCACCAAAGTTGCATTATCTCATCTGACTCTAGAGATTATTTCCCATTAAAGGAGCACCCAATTAGAAACAAGGTCTGGGGTAAAGGGGAAATTTTTTTTTTTGTAAAGATTTATTTATTTATGCATACAGAACTGGAGTACAGGCCAGAGGTGCAGGGGCGGCGAGAGGCTTCACCAGAGACAGAGTGGGGAGGCAGATTGACGAAGTACACTGCTGTGGGGAGCAGCGGGCAGGTCAAGAGGTCTGCCACACAAAGTGGTCACTCTGGGGCAGGCGGGAATTGAACTCATGCGGAAATGGCTTTAGCTTCTCAGTGCTGTGTTTTAACCCGCTGTGCCACCAAGGAGGGCCAGGAAATTATTTTTTAAGAAATACTTATTTCTATGGTCATTCAGCAGTTATCTATGATTCTCTTTAGGAAATGGTGATGGATTTTCAAAACTGATTAGTGAAAACACAGAAGGATCAGCACAGGCACCACAGTTACCACGAAAAAAGGACAAACGAGATTTCCCTGTAGGTATAACAGGCATTTGGTGACTAGTTGGGTTTTTTTTTGTTTTGTTTTTGTTTTGTTTTTGTTTTTTGTTTTTTAAATAATAGCTTATTTTTACATCATTTTGTGCATTTTTTCATCTCAGTTGTAATCCCCATGGGCTTCCCATCACCAAATCACCTATCTGCCATCAACATTTGGTGACTGATTTAATGAATACTGTAATTGTCATGTAAAGAGCATACTGTTTAATTCAAGAATTTGAATAACAACTCCAGATGTGTAAAGGGTTTTTTTTCTTTATTGAGACTTAAAAAGAAATCCTACAGTATTAAAAATTCTTTTTCCTACAGAAACCTGCTATTAATGGCCTTCCACCCACCCCCAAAGTGCTGGTAAGGAATCTTTTTTATGTGAACCACTTTCTATATTTTATCTTCTTAGAAGCAGCAGTAGATTGTTCATTTGTTAGCAAGTATCTCGAGCCATTGAAAGGAAAGATACCATAAAATAAAGTCTTTAGTACATTTGGATATAACTTGAATCATAATTCATTCTACTTTGAATAAATTGTTTGGAATTTGCAGAGTTTTATTTGTCATGAATATTGGCATTTGTAGCCTCACATAACTCTCAAAGGCCAATTTAATTTTAATGATATTATTAATAGTACTGTGTCATCTTATTGTGTGTATTACTGTCTTTTGACTACCAAAGTCATTTTCACATTGGGCTCTACACAAAGAAAAGAACTATAGATGCTGTCTCAACACTTGTTCTCTGACTCTTCACTAGATAGTATCTTTTAGGTTGACTAGCCATTCATATGAATTTATAAATGGTACTCTTTTACTTCAAGTCTAACAGAACTTTTTTGTCTGTTACCACTAAAATTATTGTTATTAAAATTATTACTGTTACTCAGTAAAATTATCTGTTAGTAGAGAAATGCAGTGACTTAAAGTCCTTAGAATGTATAATTGATGTGTATAGATGTTTTTAAAAAACTGAATATTCTTGCTCTAAAATAGATTACAAAAAGGAAGATATAAAACTGTTTTGATAGAAGGAGTTTAGTTATATCAAAATAGGATTTTTGTTTTATGATGTTGCCATAAGCATATGCAAATAAAAGTAACTTTAGTATTTAATTAATAATCTTAGATGTTTTCTAGCAATATGTAAAATCAATCAAGTCACTATTTCTTTCCTTATAAATAAGATGGGAGCGTGTTTTTCCAAAGTTTTTGATGGTTGTCCTTTGAAAATTAATTGTGCAACTTCCTGGATACATCCTGAAACAAAAGGTAAAATTCATAAAATTTTTAAACTACATTTTCAATAGATACTTATTGTGAAAAAGAAATCTTTATGACTTTAGAGATAATGGCATAGATACCAGAAACAAGCTCAATAAGTAGTCTAAAGACAATACTGGGACAATTAATAATCTCAATCATTTAAGTCAATAAATTAGGTAACAGTATTATTTCAGTGTTAGTTTCCTGACTTTTATCTCTGTACTATGGTTATGGTTATATAAGATCCCTTGTTTTCTTACCCTCATTTTGTTTTAAGAACTGCACATTGAAATACTTAGGTGTAAAGAGACATGTTTCTAACTTAAAATATTTTAAAAAATAAACAAATGTGTATATGGAGTGAAAAAGGATAAAGCAAAAGTAGTAAATGTTAATATTTATGGAATCTCTGTGAAGGGTATTCAGGATTCTTTCTACTGTTGAAAGTTTTCTGTAAGTTTGGGATGATGGCAAATTGTAAAACTTTTTTTTAACTGAAGACGATATATGTTAAGTGAGAACATGTATTATATCGATGCAAAGTTGGTATCAATACATCTGATACCACATTGCTATGTGACTGTGATTCTCAGTATGATCATTTATAATAGAAATCCTCTTCCTTGTAACCAGAAAAAGTGCTTGGCAGTCCACAGATAGTGTTCAAGAAATGTTTATTTCCACTGCAGCATTTGGAAACAATGATTATATGATTATTAATTGTTCATATATATTAATTAATTATTTAAAATATCACCTTAGAAAGCATAACAGAAAAAATATTTTTAACAGTGAGAAATATTTATTTGTAACTCTTTGATTTAATTTCAAACTTATAAAAAAGGTAAAAAAGCAGTGTAAGAAACTCCTATATGTTTAGAGCCATCTTTGTTTCTTTTTCTCCCCATTGTTTTACTATTCTTCATCTATATGCTTTTTTTCTGAATCACTTCAAAGTGAGTTGTAAACGTGCTCTCTCCCCTCTTAAACTTCAGTTGTATTTCTTAAGAAGAAGAATCATTTCTTCTTTATCACTGATATACTAATTTCTAGTCGACAGTTCCATATTTAAAGTTTATTAATTTTCCCTGTAATGCCCTGAACCATCTCCCCTACTGCTTTTTTTCCTCCATTCCAACATTCAATTCAGGAGCACATGTTGCATTTAATTAGTCTAGAACAGTTCCTTAGCCCTTGTCTCTCTTGATCTTGAGACTTCTAAACCTACATATTTTGCAGAATGTCCCTTAATTTGGATTTTGTGTAATGACTCCTCATGTGTGAATATCACTTCTGTTGTGTTTTTCTTAGTGCATAATATCAGGAGACATACTATATCACTTTGTTCAGATATAATGCTATAGTGCATAATATCAGGAGACATACTATATCACTTTGTCCAGCTGGTTAAGATGCGTTCATTGGCTTTGTCCCCTATCAAATTCTGTACTTCCCTATTTCTAAATACATGTTAATGAAACATATTTTAAGTGAATAAATATAATTAAAATATCTATTGACTGGATAGTTGTCAATTATATCTAGATTAGATAGATACTGATTTTGTCTAATTAATATACATTTTAGTTAATAACATGTACTTACTATAGAGATATATTGAGACTATGTAAGTATCTTCTTGCTCACCCCACTTTCACCACCTAATTTTAGCATCCATTGGCAACCCATTGGCAGCCCACTGACATCTGTTGACAGTTCCCCTTTTTCATTTATTCACTTATATGATTATAGTTTAAATTTATAAATTCTTTTTTATTCAATGAAATATGACCTATTTAAAAATTTATATATATATATATATATATTTTTTTTTTATGTCATTCTTTTTGTATAATGCCTTTTCCTCTCAGGTGTAGTCCCTCTGTAAAATTCCCACCACCAATTCACTCATGCACTGTCTCACTTCTTCTTCTGTTATGATCCCTTTCCCTCCCCCTGCAGAGTATCTGATTAATAGTTTCCTATTAATTTTTCTTTTTTAATTTATTCTAATTTTTTTCTGATCCTTTATTTGGTTCCCCTGCAGTACTCCTATAAGTGAAACCATCCAATATTTTTCTTTTTCTTTCTGGCTTATTTCACTGAGTGTAATCTGTTCTAGCTCCATCTGTGTTGCCGCAAATGGCATGAGTTTGTCTTTTTTGATCACTGAATAGTATTTCATTGTGTGTATATACTATATCTTCGTGATCCAGTCATCTATTTTTAGGGTTTGGTTTGTTTCCATATCTTACCTATTGAACATATTGCTTTAGTAAACACAGGGGTGCAATATCTTTTTGAATTAATGTTTTTGTGTTCCTTGAGTAGATTCCTGGGAGTAGAATTGTTGGGTGTGATCCATTATTCATAATTATTTACTTTACCACTAGTTTTCCCAGAATTTATGAGCAGTGTAAGCTTCTGTGCCTTTTGTTTCATATATGCTCCTCAGTTTCTGAGCATTTCCATATTTTCTTGGACAACAAAATTGCAAGGCTCATCTTATACTTTACATGTCCCAGACCTGGAATCATTCTCTCGAAAAGGTCCTGGTTCTTTTTACTGGAAAATAGTATTTAGAAACCAAGATCTGGTTACTAACTGTGTTTATTATTTCAGGTGTGTTATGGCTTATAACTTCTATTTAGTTTCCTTGTTCAAGGACTATTTGATATGTTTTGCAAAGATATATACCTTAAATTTTAAAATTTTAGAATATGAAAATGACATTGAAAGGAAGGATTGTATAGTAAGATAAACACCAAAGTAAATATATTTGCTCGTAAAAGTAACACTTGGGAAAGGTAGCATGAATTTTAGAAAATAATTTTTCTTAGAATACACTATTTAAATCTTAATACCAATCAAACCATTATTTTTATGAATGGTTTCAGAAAAAATGATAGTAAATTCTGGTGATTTATCTCAATTATTCTAGATCAGTACATTATTTTTGGAACTGAGGATGGTATTTACACATTGAATCTCAATGAGCTACATGAGGCAACAATGGAACAGGTAATTGGTCTTGGCTTTTTACTCAAGAACCTAGTTTGGGTAAATTGAATAAAATAAATACCTTAATTTTTTTTTATTTTTTTAATTACTACAAAAGTTTATTTTTACATCATTTTGCACATTTTTTTTTTCCATCTTCGATTGGAAATCCCGCGGGTTTCCCATCACCAAATCACCCGTGTGCCACCACCATAGTCCCGTGCATTTCCCTCTCTTCCCCCCCTCCCCCCCCCCCGTTTTTGATCCCATTCCCCACTCCACCCCCACAACATGTCTCTAGTATATGGTTGTTCATTATTTTTGTTATTTTCTCGCCTGGTCCATTATACTCCTGCTAGGAGTGAAACCATCGGTAATAAATACCTTAATTTTAAATTAACTTACTAGGTGCATTTTTATAATGTACATGAAAAAGTGAGATTGTAGTTTTTAGATGTTCATGATGAAAGCTTTTTGTAAATTAATGATAATTTATGCTACTTCAGCCTGTTAGAATTTGGAGGCTAATTGGTAAATAAATAATAAAAGAATAAAATTGGGGAATTTTAATTATCTTTTTTTTTTTCTCCTTAGCTGTTTCCGCGGAAATGTACTTGGCTCTATGTTATCAATAATACTTTAATGTCATTATCAGGTATGTAAGGGTGAAAATAATACAAAAAATCACAGACAAGCAAAGAAGTGTAATTTTTATATACATATTTTTAAAAGTTGTTACCTTTGATAGGGAGCTTTTTTCAGTTAATATAGCACTTCCCAGCCAGTCTAGCATCTAAATAACTGAGTAAATTACAAAGTAATTATCAAACTGAAGCCACCCTCTTCTACTCAGACTCTTTTACCCTCACTGTCTTTGTTCCTCTCTTCCATTGAGAATTACCAGTTGAAGGGGAAGAATCAGATGGAGCTGCTTCCTTTCTCTGTGGTTTTGAGCACATTACTTTCCCTTTCTCAGGCTCAGTTTGATAATGTTAAGAATAACAGCTTCAGTAGATTGTTGTGAAATGGGATGCTATCCAGACTGTAGTTTTGCACATTTATTTTCCAGTAGAATTCATGTTATCCTGCGCCACATGCTAACAATTGTGAATGGATGTTTTGAGATCTTATAAACAAGTGGGTTCCAAAACAGTCTATTTTAATTCATGTGTGTATGTGTTTTTCAGTTGTTGTTAAGGGTAGGAGGGTGGTGTTTTAGACTTTTTTCAATTCTTACCTACAAAACCTATTTTCCATTTAAATGACTAGAGATTTGCTGCTTGATTTCCTTCTGATAGTAGAGCAGATAGTTAAGTATTTCTCTTTCTCAATCCTAATGCACTGAACCACCAAAATAATACTCATCCCTTCATACATTTTGAGTTTTAAGTCATTATGATAGGGCCCTCCCTGGTGGCACATGGAGTAAAAGCACAGTGCTATGATATTATCCACAGCCACTGCAGGACAAGTTGTATTCCTGGCCAGAGAGTTGACCCATATGGTGTGACAGACCCCTCCTGTCCTACCTGCTGCTCACCTCAGCAGTGTATTTCAGTCAATCTGCTTTACTGTTCTCCACTGTGTCTCTGGTGAATCTTCTCACATCCTGCACTTTTGGCCTGTGACCCAGTTCTTGTATGCATAAATAAATCAACCTTTTTAAAAAATTATGATGTTTTTTTAATATTTCTTCAAGTCTTTGATACTCTTTTAGATTCTTTATGTGATTACATATGTGAAGATTATTTCCTGGCATAGTATTTACTATATTGTCACACTTTCTAGTATTAAATGTACCTTTTAGCTACTTATGCTTTAAAGCATTAATGCTGTCATACAGACTTACTTACTAGTAGGTTATTATGAATTGTGGCCTAATTCCAAAAATGTCAATTCTGTCATTTTAGTTGAGTGTATATAACTTGAACTCTTCCACTAACAACTGCCTACTAGAGACTCTTCAAGAATTTGTGTATCTGAGCTGATGATAGCTTCTCAAAGAGCATATTATTCAATATGCAAAAATGGCTTCTAAAAAAACAGGATCGTCAAAGAGTACTGAATCTCATTTACTTTAATTGCTTCCCCAATTTTTTAAAATTTGTTTAATAAAATGTTAATATGTAATTATGAAAATAAGCTTAAATCCAATTGTGTTTAACAAATTCATAGTTATATAGTTTCCTCTGACTCTCTTACTGCTTTTCTTGCAACTCGTACTTAGAAATCTAATATTAATATTTAGAAATATTCTTGAAAACCATACAGGGAACATCTTACATACTTATAAAAATAACTGGGAAAAGGTAACCTGTAAACTAGTTCTTTCTATAATCTAGCCATGAGGATATTCCCTGGTGGCACAATTGATTAAAGCTTAGCACTACAAAGCTGCCCCACTCTGCCTCTGGTGAATGCTCTCACCGCCCCTGCACCTCTTGCCTGTATTGTATGCATAAATAAATTAATCTTTAAAAAAAATAAATAAAATGACCCATGAAACCGAATGAAGGGAAATAGCAGAGTGACTAAGAGAAAACTTTCTACTTAAGAGTATGCATGTTGCTCAACTGCCTCTCTAGCTAGCTGCAAAGCAGAGTGGAAATAGAAAAAGGAGTGCAAGAGTCTTAGAATATTTGTATTCTGAGGGAATACAGAGAATTTTGTTGAGAATAACACTATATATGTGTGTGTGTATATATATATATATATATATATGTTTATGTTTTCTAATAGGAAAACAAGTTGTTTTGTTACATTACCATATCATGCACAATAAGGAATCCAAGATTTTGCCCTAATTCCCCTGCTTAATATAGCTATTTTTGCTTATATGGAAGTTGTTGCCCTTACAACTTATGATATTCATTTGCTTTACTTTTCTTAGTATTTCAGTCTGTTACCTACTTAAAACTTCTTTCACTATTAATTTTATTCCAGGGTAACTTGCTAAATCACTAATAAATGGTTTATACCTCAAGTGTAACCAATGTTATACTAAAATAATTACATGTGCATCATTGTAATTCAGTCCATTGTACAAAGATGTTTAACAGCTTTTCCTTCTGTGCTGGCTGTATTAAAATTTACCTGTATTCTGCCCAGATCACCTTTGAGTCAGAATATACCCATCTTGTGTATTAAATGCTACCTACTTTCTAAAAATCATTTTGCCTGTTGTATTTCAAAGTAGTATTAACTTGTTTTGTTTGTTTTGTGTGTGTTTGTGTGTGTGTTTTCTATTTTACTTGGTTTTTTGAACATCTGGATTCCTCATTTTAGAAGGTAATTATGTTTTCTTTTGCTTAAAAATTTTATTTCTTTGCCATAAGTGGTTCTAATAAAAATGTTTCTTTTTTATAGGAAAAACCTTTCAGCTGTACTCTCATAATCTTATAGCTTTGTTTGAACAAGCCAAAAAGCCAGGATTAGCTGCCCATATTCAAACTCATAGGTTTCCAGACCGCATACTACCAAGGTAAAAACATTTTTATTCTACCAGAATTGGAATTAGTGTCTGTATGTAACATATTCCTTGCTCACTAGAAAACTCCTTAGTCTTAATTTCGAATGGTAGTTTAAAGTACATATGATCTAAAATGAAAAAGTCATTGTTTTTGTTTACTTGAGAATCACCTATAGAAGCTTTACAATACAGATTTCCAGACTCTGCCTCAATCCTATAAAATCAGGTAGTTTGGGGTCAGAGTGCTAACATAGTTTTCTTTTAAGTTCCTTGACTGGTTCTGGTGCAACTGGAAACCTCTATGGTAGAGTACATTTATATTGTCTTGTGTTTTCAGAAAGTTCGCTTTAACAACAAAGATTCCTGATACAAAAGGCTGCCACAAATGTTGCATAGGTAAGTAAATGGTGTTTCTCAAAATGGATGATTAGAGCTTTTAACATCTTTAAAATTACTGAAGATACTTATAGAATCAAATAGGAAGGAAAGTAGGCTTGCTTTAATTTACTTATATATTTATCTGTTTGTTTTTAATTGAGCTAACACTTGGATACCCACATCAGGTATAACCACACTAGAGCATCCACCCCCAATTCACCCATAGTCCACCACCACAGTCCCTTGTGCTTCCTTCCTTTTCTGTTCTTACCTATCCACCACCCCCTCCCCACCTTTGTACAGTCAGCTCCAAAATGCTAGTTTTTAAGCTTGTCTTTATCTGACTCTTAGTTTAATTACTTTATATCTCACATATTAATGACACCACCTGGTATTCCTTAGTGAGGAACTAAAGAACTTTTAGTAGGATGTTACATAGAAAGGGACATGACATAAAAATGAATGAACATAACAGCTTTAATTTTCTCAGAGCTCAGTATTCCCAGAGGTTTTAACCAGATACAAGACTTATCTCTGCTAATATCTTTTCATTTATTAAGCATTCATTTATATGAGAGTTAATATATAGTGCATGTTGAACATTAATATTGCAGAAGTTTGGCCAGTTGTGATGTTAGAGGGACCAGTTCACACACGATCAATCTAATTTCTGATACCAATTACAATTTTTGATGGGGGTGGGCGATACCAAAAACTTTTGCTACAGACCTAAGAACACTCACTGAAAGGAGTTATATTCACAGTATAGTTTATTACAGGTAAGGAGAGAGAGAAATTGATCGATCGATCGATTGATTGATTCCATCTTGTCTTTAGATATATGTAAGCTATATCAGATAGATAGGTAGGTAGGTAGATAGATAGGTAGGTAGATAGGTAGATAAGTAGACATGTAGATAGATTAGATAAATATTTTCATCTTGTCTTAAGTAGATATCTGTAAGCTATACCAGAGATGATATCCTAGATCAGTTGATCAGCCAGGGAAAGGAAGTATAAAGTCCGGGAAACTGAGCTTCTGTTATCTTCCCCATGCAATAATGGACAGGGTAGCTTTTCTGACAGTAATGTATGACAATACACACAGAGCATTGCCATCTAGGGATGCTTACTCCAATCTCAGTATTTGTTGTTTTTTAAGGCTTCATCATATGGGCATTATTGATTGTGTACATGCCTGACCCCAATGTCATTGCATAACCCAAAGTCCTTATCCTAAATCACATTGTTGATCTTTCTGTCATACTTAACCTCCTCCCGAAGACTGTCCAGTGTTAGAGGGGAAAAAAAACTATCCAGTGTTGCCAACCCACATTATAAATCATATGGTGATACTATCTAGTGATTCAGGCTACAGACTAAGACACTCACATCCATCTCATTTCTTGGAATTTGGGCTTAGCTCCCAGAAGAAAAGACAAAGGCAGGACCTACTGGGAAAGTTTAAATTCTCTGTATCACATAGTTACCTTATCCCACTTCATGATTCTCAATATAATATTTGTTATGTTATGTCATGTCATTAATAAGAAACACTGTCTAGGATCCTGGTGTCCTAACTTCCTGTTTATTTTTGTTTAATCAGCAAGCTTAACATTGATCTTCATGTTACATAGTTCTACAAAGTGCTCTCTGGTTATAAGCAAATTTGGTAAACACTTTTTCTCGAGAGCATCAGGTCAGCGTTTGGTATCAGAAGTATAAATGTAAACTCATAAATATAGTAAGATAGAATTTATTGTAAATAACTACTCTTAAAAGCCACGTATTATTGATGGGAGTCAAATTGGAGAAACAAAGACTAACATGAATTTTTATACACATGAATCAAGAAGTTATATCTTCAGTACGATGTAAAATACTGATATTTTCATCTGTCTTAAGTAGATACAGCAAGCTATACCAGAAATGAAATCCTAGGTTTCATTTGCATTCTAGACCTTCTTATTAAATTCCCTCTTTTTTCAACTTAAGAAGCAGCTGCTTAGGTTGCATGCTAATTTAGATGTTTTGGTGCTTTAAAATACTGTTCTTACCAAAAAAAAGTCCTGTCTTTAAGAATGTTGTATATTAAAAATACGTGGGAATAAATGTATATAATTTCAAATTGAGGTGAGAAAGTTAAGGGGAAAGAATAGCAAAACCAAAAGAAGACATTGTTTTTCTTTACTTCCTACCCACTATGTCATCCTTGTGAACAGAAATAGTTTTCTAATCAAATAGTTTCCACTTTTATCCATATTTTGGTATTAGTGGCAAGCCACATTTTAGCTAACACCACCTGAGTTAGCTTTCAGGTGAATAAAACTCAGCTTTTGCTTTTAATTTAAATCAGTAATGTTTTTATATAAGGTATTCAATATTTTGGACATGTCTGTTTGGTTTCTTTCCAGTCAGAAATCCTTACACAGGACACAAATACCTCTGTGGAGCTTTACAGTCTGGAATTGTTTTACTTCAGTGGTATGAGCCAATGCAGAAATTCATGCTGATAAAGGTGCATATTTGTTTGCATTTTTCTTCTTTGGAAAATACGACTGTATAACTGAAACTGAAGTGTAAGATTGCATTGCTACTATCCAGGGTTCAACATGTATATAGTTTTATATATAGGTATTTATTTGGTTTAGAGGTTTTTGTGTTCTAGAGATTTCCTCTTTAACTTAGTTAATAATTACTAGAAGCCTCACAGCCATGAAGATTGGTACACCCAATTCTCTAAAGCATATTTTTATAAAATACTCATTTGCTTTATGATCATCTTAGAGGTAGTCCTTTTCTAGAATTAGATCAATCAAGAAAACAAAAGCCTTTCTTTAGATTTTATTCAACAACAATATGAAAGAAAAAAGAAAATTATTAATGGGGAAATTGTTTCTAAATTAAACTTTTGCCATTTATTTATTGCAGCACTTTGATTTTCCTTTGCCAAGTCCCTTGAATGTTTTTGAGATGCTGGTAATACCAGAACAGGAATACCCTATGGTCTGTGTAGCTATTAGCAAGGGCACTGAATCAAATCAGGTAGTTCAGTTTGAGACAATCAATTTGAACTCTGCATCTTCATGGTTTACAGAAATTGGTGCAGGTAAGTGTTTTCTACCTTATTTTTAAATTTTGATGCTTTTGTATATAAAAGAAGCAGAATGGGTTCAATCTGCATGGGCTCTTTTAGAATTAAAGATGCAGGCATAGAGGATCATGTGATTACAGTTTACATCTATTTACCTGAGATAATTTATTTCAGCCAAACCTCCTAAATCTAAAGGTGTTATTTATTACCAGTTTGTCTTTGTATTTACTAAATCCAAGAAACTTTTCAAATTTTATCAGCTTCTCAAGCAGAGATAATGCCTTTTTCTCCTGTGGGTACCCCCTGCACCCTCCCTCCCACACTTATTAGAATAATTGTGTTTAAGTACTTTTCAGATTTTAATAGATTCTTCTTTGATGTGGCCTCTGAGCTTCACCATTTAAAGATACAGGGAAATATTTAGGACTTTTAAGAATGGTTTATTAGCCTAGGATTTTATCAGGCATATCTCAGTGTCTTTAAAAGATTAGTAAGTTTATGATTTAAAATTGAAACAAATCAATCTGGAACTCATTTTATAAACTCATTTGTAACCTCAGGTTTGCAAGCCGTTTTTACATATGAACTAAAAAGTAAAAGCAAGTTTTAGTTATGCCCGTTGCATTACTGACCATTGTTGTATTCTTTACCACTTTGTAAAGAAGTCTGTTACAAATATCATAAGTTTGATGCTTTTAGTTATAGATATCTTTGGCTTTGATTGTTTGTAGGCTAAATTATAAAGAGGTTTTTGTATAATCCAGCTAGTTAGGTTGATGTAGAGCCCACACTAATGCCACTTTAGAACAAGTGTGAATCAGTGGTGCCCTGGTAAATGTTTACCAAAGTGTCCTTGCAGTTTGGAGAAGCCTAATTTGTAGCAGTTGCCTGTTCCTGTGGTATAAATACCCCTATCATGACCAATTTTAAAGTATGCCATCTGGTTCATTAAATTGCTGAAAATGTTAACAGTCTGGTATAAAACAATTCCTATCTGCACTGGACTATGTTTGTGGGTCAAGTCATAATTTCCAGTAGAATAAAATAGGAATTCCAGTGGAATAAACTATCCACCTGCACTTACCTTTCTATTTAACTTACTGTTTAATGCTTTTGGATGTATGCTCTCCTACTATTGCTAACAGAAAGCTGAAAATGACATTGTTTTATTATGAAAATAATGCAGCCCATATAGAAACATGCTTCTATTGTGTAGCCATTGCTTAAAAGAAGTTATAAATCAATTTATTTAAAAACCAAAATAATTTTTGGCAAACAGCTCCATCTTTTTTTTTAATAATATAATAGTTTATTTTTACATAATTTTGTGCCTTTTCCATCTCAGTTGTAATCCCTGTGGGCGTCCCATCACCAAATCACCCATGTGCCATCACCATAGTCCAAGTACTTCCCTCCCCCAACCGTTTTTGTTCCTATTCCCCACTCCACCCCCATAAAATGTCTCTGGTATGTAGTTGTTCATTATTATTATTATTTTCTCACTTGGCCCTTTATACTCCTGCTATGAGTAAAACCATCTGGTATTTTTCCTTTTCTTTCTGGCTTATCTCACTAAGCATGATCTTTTCTAGTTCCAATTATGTTATATGTTATATATATATATATATAAACACATGCCTTTTGGAACTAGAAAAGATCATGCTTAGTGATCTAAGATGTGGTACATATACACAATGGAATATTACTCCGCAACCAATATATGTATATATACATCTTTTTAATCCAGTCATCTACTTTTGGGCATTTACACATCTTTTGGACATATACACATCTTTTTAATCCAGTCATCTACTTTTGGGCATTTGGGTTTTCCATCTCTTTCCAATTGTAAATAAAGCAGCAATAAACATGGGGGTGCAGGTGTCTTTGAATCCATGTTTTTGTGTCTTTTGGGTAGATACCTAGCAGTGGGATTGCTGGGTCCTATGAAGTTCCATTTTTAGCAGTTTGAGAAACCTCCAAACAGTTTTCCAACGCGGTTGTACTAGTTTGCATTCCCACCAGCAGTGCAGGAGAGTTCCTTTTTCTACACACCTTCGCCAACATTTGTTGTTGCTAGTTGTTTGAAGATGTGTCATGCTCACTGGGGTGAGATGGTATCTCATTCTGGTTTTGATTTGCATCTCCCTTATTACAAGTGATGTTGAACATTTTTTCATATGCTTGTTGGCCGTCTGCATTTTCTCTTTAGAGAAGTATCTTTTTAGCTCTTCTGCCCATTTTTTGATGGGGTTGTTTATTTTTGTTGAATTTCATCAGTTCTTTGTATATCTTTGTGATAAATCCTTTATTGCTAGTTTTGTGTGAGAAAATTTTTTCCCAATCATCCATCTTTTTTTCTAGTTATTAAATAATAATAGTATAGATCCAGCCATTTCATGCAATTATTGTTTGCAGTTATATTAGGTGCATCTTAAAGGATGATATATTAGGAAGTATATTATCTATTATAAAATGTCCAAGGTAGAACAAAAATTACTTCTAGAAGAGGATCAGGACTCTGCTTGAGGGTAGTCATTCCTATCACCCTCAAGCAGCAGTTACCTTTGTTGGGCTTCTCCATTCTCATAAATGATTCTTAGTTACACCACCGAATGTGTTTATTGGTGAACATAGGCCATGTCTTGAACTGGTAACAGTTGTAACAGTTAAAATGAGTCTACAATCCCAGGACTTTTTTAATCTTGGTCTTACTTATTATTGTAATATTCCTATCTCCTAGGATGGTGCTTGGCATATTTTGATCACTAAATTAATATTTGCTGAATAAATTCATGGTTATAGATTTACTAAGAAAAGATATTTTTTGAGTGTTGCCTGGTGGACAGTTCATCAGTTCTATAGATCTGTATTCTTCAGTGTTTGGTCTTTGGAAGGTCAATATGCAACCTCAAAATAAGATACAGCTAACCCTTGAGAAGTGTAGGGGTTAGTGGTGCCAGCCTTGTGCAGTTAACAATCCACATTTTAACTTTGACTCTCCCCAGATTTAACTGTTAGCCTTCTATTGGTCTTACTGATGACATAAGTTCAGTTAACACATATTTTGCATATTACATGTATCAAGTATTACATTTTGCAGTAAAGTAAGCTGGAGAAAAAAAATGTAATCAAGAAAATCATAAGTAAGAAAAAAATACATTTATGGTATTATGTTGTATTTATTGATACCATTAGTTAATGATGTCTTTTTATAAGAAATTCCATATGTACATGAACTTGTGCTTTTCAAAACAGTATTCTTCAAGGGCCAGCTGTATATAAAATTTTGTGTTAATGTTTGGATGTATAGTTTAAAAAACATTTTGCAAGGATGCCCTAACATATTAAAAGCAGCAGCCCTGTGAATATCAACAGTGATGAAAGGTATTTTTTTAACAATGTGTTACTCTGTGTCCTCTGAATAAAGCAACTCCCACCCCAATACCAGTAAAATTTCTTTCTGTATAGTTTCCTGAATCCTTTGACTTTTTCTGAATTATTGGCCATTTTTATCTCAGGGGTGCTATGATTCACTTAACTATTCTTGTTTCTTATTATTGACTACTATAAAGTACAGAGCAAAATCTGGTTATTGTATAACATGCATATTAACTTTCTCCCCAATCCCTGAATATTTACCTTCTCTTCATTTTATTTTTGTAAGCTTTTTAGAACTAGCTAAGATGTTAATAACTAAATATAATATTTAACTTAGCTTCTTAAACATGCTAACTTGACCTACATACATATTTTGGAGATATCATACAAATTATAATTTTTATGTTACATTTGGAAGATTAGTTTTAAATTACAAAGCCTGAACATGTCTTTCTAATCTCTTGATTTTTTAAAACATGTTGTATAACTGTAACTGTTTTTTTTCCCTCCTAAGGAAATCAACAGTTAGATTCCATTCATGTGACACAGTTGGAGAGAGATACCGTTTTAGTGTGTTTAGACAGTAAGTACTATTTTCAAATTTATTCTGCAAATACTATTTCATATAACAGATCTTCTCATGCAATTCATTTTATTAAACTAGTTCAAGATATTTGTTTTTCTAGCTTAAGTGAGCTTATGTTTTATTTGAAAAAAATGACTACAAATTGACTATAGATACCTGAATTGTCTTCTTGTTAATACATTCAGTGTAATTTTTTGCTTTATTTTGTTTGCCTACTTGGAAATAAGATATCAGACAGTCTGCTATAACATTGGGATAAATGTTGTATAAAAACATTCTGTATAAGATTATGCTGAGAACTTTTTCATATCCCATAATTAATAAAAAGAATTAGTAATATGATGACTTATAGTCATATAACATGAACTTTTTGAATCATATCAGAGTGAGATTCTAAGGTACTTAAGATTTGATGTCTTCACCTGCTAATTGTGATTCTTTTCATGTAGGCACAGTGATGTTATTGATAGAAGTGTGTTGTACTATAAGCACGAGAGAAGTTAAAAAAACTTTTAGCAGCAGGTCTAATTTCAGTTTTCCAAAGAAAACATTCTGAGTCTTAAAATCCACTTTATTTTATGCTGTGATTCCTTCAAGGTAAAAATCACCCAGACTAGGGATTATATTTTTTGTTATATTTGACCCATTCCAGTATTTTTTATATTATTGGACCTCCCATAGATGTTCAGGGTTATTTCAAAAATTGTTCTACTACTGATTTTTGTCTGTGTGCCTGTCCCAACTTGTATTGTCTGAAGGGCTTCATAGTGGAGATACCTTATAAGATCATAAAGCTATAATAGATATTTTAGATAAATAAGGCAACCCCTCTCCCCATGTTTCAGTTGCCCATGATTCTTTTTTCATAAAGCTGTAACCCCTCCTTTTTTTTCTGTTTAAAATAATATTGAATTATGACATAGATTTCAGGGCTGCATTATTAAAAATCAATATATAATATATATATATACACACATATACATATTTATCTTTAAGTTCACCACTAAAAGTTAAGGGCTATCATGTTCCATGCAGTTGATTCCTTATAACTGATTTACCCACCCTAATTTCCCCCTTTGTTTGGTAACTGTTAATTGATCTTATCGTCTGGAAGTTTATTTTTGCTTTGTTTAATTCATTTGTTTATTTGATTTACATTATGTGTAATGCAGATATTTATTATATATAAAATGCAGATATTTAATATATTATATATAAAAAATAAAAGCAACATTGCCTTTAAGGAGATAATTTTGGAGTATATTGTATAAGACATTAATGACAATTTTTCAATGGACATGCTAAAATTAAAATAGTTGAATTTTTTTAAGAATTTGTTTGGTGTCCATATAAAACACAAATGTGAAATTATATTTACTTTATTAGATTTGCATTCTCAGTCTTGACTTTTTTTTTTTAAAGAATTTGTAAAAATTGTAAATCTACAAGGAAAACTAAAATCAAGTAAGAAACTGGCCTCTGAGCTAAGTTTTGATTTTCGCATTGAATCTGTAGGTAAGTCCTCCTTTTTTCTCAGTGCATTTAGAATACTCATATTTTGTTCATTTTTATACTTAAAATTGTCTACATACACACTGTCTCATAGTTCTGTGATTATAGAAATGTTTGGTCTCTGCTCTTAAATTCATTAACCATTAACCATGCCTGTTAATTATTTCATACATGACTAGGGCAAAATTTTAGATTTCAAAATTTAGTGAATTTATATTTTAATGTAAATAGCTACATGTGATTAGTTGCTAATATGTTGGATAGTGCAGATCTAGATTGTAATAAATCTTTTGTTTTCTGAATATTTAAAATTTGAAATCATTTAAAAATTTTCTGTTCATTGTTTCCCTTGCTGTGTTAAGTGAATTGTTGTTCTCCTAATTTTTTCCAAATCATGAAGGTTTTATACGATGTGACTAATGGTGTTAGATTTGCCATGTAGGATCTGATTGATATTTATTACTTGTGTTTATCTGTAAATAATTTCCCATAGAACTTGGAAACTTCATACCATTTTAATTTGCATCCTTGTCAATGAGTATTTTACTCTTTAGTAATCATGAGAACTCATTGGTTTAATGATAAAAATTACTACATTTTATTATTGCTTTCATTTAAATTGATTGTAATACAGCAGTAAGTATTCCCCTGAGGTGATAGAACTTGTAAAAATATATCTTGGCTGGATAATTTTGAGCACGTTAAGATATGATTTTACTATAAGTCAATAATAGTTAAAACAAAGACGGGTTATTTAGGCCTTGAAAATATTTTGTAATTGCATGTGTATACTTTTAAAAACATGTTCTTAATTATTTAGAAACTTTGTGAGTATTGTTTTTGATATTTTAATGGTTCTCAACTGAATTTTTGTCTGATCACAAAGTATGTTCTTCCCTCTGTATAACATCTTAAATAAAAATAATATACTTTACAATTGGAAAATATGACTTATTGAAACAGAAAATCTTAACTTTCTGTAAATGCTAGGATAAAAGGAATTTTGGACCTTTATAGTTTCCTAATGTTTTATGTGCTAGATATTGCATGCCAGTGTCCAATATTCAATATTTTCAGTAGAGAGAGAAGATCAGGTTTCCCTCCAAAATCTTCAGTCTACCCCAAGGTTGTATAGGAGATAGGTGGGAAGCAGGAGGGACCAAGACACACCATGTGGTGGCTACACTTTGGGGTCATGGTCATTTCTAAGTCTGAAGTCATCATCAGGAAGGCAGGGAAGCTTAACTCAAATCTGTGAACCCCGTGAGCAGTGGGGCCTGAAAGACTACAGAGACCTGTGGCCCACATGAATACTGAAAAGAAAATAACAGTTAAGAATTGGCTTACAGATGATAATTGCTCAATGTATTGCTTATGTTTTGTGGGACAGGTTTATTTCTAAACATTAATTTTGTAACTGGGAAAATGTGATCATAAATAAAAGATGTTTCCTTAATAGCTTCTAAGTTTGTGACAGTACTTAAATGACCACTTTTATGCCATGGAACACTTCACTGTCTTTATGATTTTATTCACCTGAGACAAAAGATATGTTATATGAAAGAGAAATTAATATGCTGATATCCAGCTTATCAGATCTTTGAGAAATTACATGACTTTCCTCAATAAATTATTTGATCTTGGGCATGACTTAGCCACAAAAATGCTGGTACTTAATGATCTCTAAATAGTGGAATTTTGCATCAAACTCAAATAGCCTTCCATTATCTTCATTAAAAAGTTAAAGAAAATGTATAGTGAATCACTGTGTGCTTTACTTTAGCTTCAGTTCTCCCTTATCCTTTTTAGTATGCCTTCAAGACAGTGTACTGGCTTTCTGGAAACATGGAATGCAGGGTAAAAGCTTCAAGTCGGATGAGGTAAAATTCTTGAAAATTATCTCCAGTGATTTTCACTAAGGATTTTAAATGTTGAAATGATCACTATATGCCTTTTTACTTCTGAGCCTCCATTACTATACTTAGTAACTTTAATGCTATGAAATTGTAGAACAAAACTGCCAGTATTTTTCCTTGAAATAATGTTTAGTTTTGTGTTTATTATTTATTATTATTTATTATAATTTTCTGTGACCACAAATGAATTTTAAAATATCAGTTCATATAATTTAATTTCTCTGATTTGTGATTTGTCAATATGGTTGCTAAACCGCTAAACTTTTCTAAATTTAATAAGCCTATTTGATAATCTATAAATATAATTATATTTTGTAAAATAGTTTTAATACTCTATTTTTTATATTTAATATTTAATGTTATATTTAATGTATATACTCATTACTAATAAAACATAATACTTCTAAGATTTTAATATTATGTGTTTTAATATAGTTAAAATTCTAAATTAAAGGTATTGGATCAGACAAGGAAAATCTAAAGAAGTAACTAACACTATTATTAAAGCATACTAAAGTATAATTATAAGTAATATCAACCCCTTAGGCACTTTACCAGTGTTAACTCCTTCAAAGCTTATAATAATCCAGTGGGGGTTAGGTACTATTTATATTCCCATTTTTAAGGCATGGCATATTTAAGTTTTTTGGTTAGAGTTACATAATTGTTTAAGTGGATTTGAAGGGTCTCCAAAAGTCATTTCTAGCTAAAGATCCATTTCATGCTAGAGAAGGGGTTTGGTCTCTTCCACAGTGAGGAATGAATCCTAATGATTAAATACTAGCAAACATTGCCTAACTGTGTCAGTGCACTACAATTCTTGCATGTCATGACCTCACAAATTTGTGGGCTTATTTTAAAGATTAAAATCTTTTGTTTGAATTATACTTAGTTTTATCCACATTCTTATTTATGTATAAATGAGTAGGATTTCCATCTGTTTTATGAATGTGGAGCTTCAGTGTTTCTAAGAGAAAAATGATATAAATCAGCTGTTTTTGAATGTTGATTTATCTGGTTGACTCACTCATGTCACTAATGTCACCAGGTCCCTGCTTCAATGAAGTTTATAATCATACTTACTGCCAAAAGATTAGTTGTTCTTGGTGAGAAATATATATAAGATTGTTCACAAGTATAAATTATTTCCCTTTTTTAGCTCATCTTGATTGCCTCTTTCTACTTATTCTCTTCCTTCAATTTGAGCTTGACTGAAATCTCAACCTTTTCATTTTAATATTCAGTCACTCCAATCTACAAGTGATTGGAACATTTCTCAACTTATTCTGAAAATCCACTCTAACTAATACTGCATCTAATTTTTCTGATTTAAATTTATTCATTCTATCACCCCAGCTAGAGTGCAAATTCCTTGATACCAGGCTTTTTTATAGTTATTTATAATGATACCTATTTTTTTTCATTTATTTTTTTTAATTATTACAAAAGTTTATTTTTACATCATTTTGCACATTTTTTTTTCCCATCTCGATTGTAATCCCCGTGGTTTTCCCATCACCAAATCACCCATGTGCCACCACCATAGTCCTGTGCATTTCCCTCCCTTCACGCCTCCCCCGTTTTTGATCCCATTCCCCACTCCACCCCCACAAAATGTCTCTGGTATATGGTTGTTCATTATTTTTGTTATTTTCTCGCCTGGTCCATTATACTCCTGCTATGAGTGAAACCATCCAGTATTTTTCTTTCTCTTTCTGGCTTATCTCACTAAGCATGATCTTTTCCAGCTCCATCCAAGTTGCTGCAAAAGACATGTGTTTCTCTTTTTTGGTTGCTGAGTAATATTCCATTGTATATATGTACCACATCTTTTTTATCCAGTCATCTACTTTTGGGCATTTGGGCTGCTTCCATGTTTTTCCAATTGTAAATAAAGCAGCAATAAACATGGGGATACAAGTATCTTTTTCAATCAGTGTTTTTGTGTCTTTGGGTAGATACCTAGGAGTGGGATTGCTGGGTCGTAGGGAAGCTCCATGTTTAGCAGTTTGAGGAACCTCCAAACAGTGGTTGTACTAGTTTGCATTCCCACCAGCAGTGCAGGAGAGTTCCTTTTTCTCCACATCCTCGCCAACATTTGTTGTTGCTAGTTGTTTGAAGATGTGCCATTCTCACTGGGGTGAGGTGGATACCTAACTATTTTTATACTTATATTCCAGTTTTGATTTGGCTGCCGCACAAGGACTCAAGTTTGAGTATTTTATTTGGGAGTAAATTCCAGAAAACAAATGATGGAGAGAGGAATATTAAGATAAAGAAGATCAAAAAGCCAAGAACACTTTAATAAACTATTCCTAGTATGGGCAACCAGGACTTAATCCCATAGGAATCACTAAGGAAGAGTTGTAGAACACATCTCAGAACTGCTTGATTTAAAGGTGGAGGGAAATGGTACATTTATACACCAATTGCTGTTCCTGTTGGTTAAGGGTTACCTCCAGGAGTATAAACGTCCCATTTTGGAGTAGCACCTGTGTATGGCTGAATATCTTCTACAGCTTTGGAGAAAACAGAGCAGAGGAACACCATAGTTACTCACTGGTGTAAGACACAAGAGCATGGGAATACCCATATCACAAAGAATTATTTTAAGTAAAATGCCTAAAGTAAATGTTTCATAAATGTCAGTTAGTTTCTACTAGTAGGCAATGCAAAAAAATGAATAAAACTTACTGAAATTTATTTAATTTGAGGAATTGAGTCTACCAGAAAATCACTGTTCTGCTTAATAATTATTCGAGCTAAATTATTTTTAAATTATTGTTTAAATACATGGGACTAAGATATTACTAAAAGGCATTTTCTTTCATAGGTTACCCAGGAGATTTCAGATGAAACCAGAGTTTTCCGCTTATTAGGCTCAGACAGGTACTCATTTGGTTGTTTCAATTCTATTGTATCTTAATACCATCAGGTCATTATTGTGTTTCTAAGAACTCTTAGAAGACTCAGAAACTTAAGGAAATTTTCATCGTCTTTATAGAGAATATTTTAATTTGTCAAATAAGCAGTTTTTTTTTTGAGTATGAAGATCATCATCTAGACATAGTGCTCAGCCAAGACAAAATTTGCTGATATAGGTATTTATGCCCTAGTATCATGACATACTTCATATTTTACTGATGTGTTACCTTCTATTTGCTATTACTTTATAAATCCAGTAGAATATGCGTACCCTGCCATTTGCTTTTATGTCAGAAAATCTTCAATCCAGCTTCTGAGAGCAGTCAAACGTAGAAGGAATCATGTGGTCACTGTCATCGAAATAAAAGACAGGACCACCCTGGTGACACAGCAGGTTAAAGTGCAATACTGTAAGCGAGCCGCAGACACTTCAGTGTGAGTTCAATCCCCAGTCTCGGAGGTGAACCACGCGGTGCAGCAGAGCTCGTCTGTCTCACCCACTGCTCCCCTCAGCAGTGTACTTTGTCCATCTGCCAGTTCTGCACCCCACTCTGTCTCTGGTGAATCTTCTCACCTGGCCTGCTCCACAGTTCTGTATCCCTAAATAAATAAATCTTTAAAAAAAAAAAGAAAGAAAGAAAGAAATAAAAGGCAAGTTATGAAATGGTCTTATCTTATAAAAAAAAAACCTAGATTTTATTCTATAGAGTCTGTATTGTTACCTCTACAGCTAATAAAATACCCTTTCCTTATTATTTTCCCATCCAGAGTTACCACTACAACAAAATTGGCTGTAGTATAGTATATATTAATTCTTAGGCAAGGCATTGACAACTTCTGGTTTGCATTTCAGTTTAGTCACACAATCGTTGCTTAAATATTTGCGGGGGAGGGATTTATGACTCCATAAAAATTTTAAAGAAACCTATGTGCGGATAAAAAGGAGTTTCAGAAAATGAAAAGTACCTTCGTGATTAAAAAATAGTAAGCCCCTGAAATATGGCAATTAGCAATTAGTCCTGCAACAAAGGAAGAACTTGAGGTCCACCTGGTAAAATGACTAGAAGGCTTTTGCGTCTCCCAGAGGCACTGACAGAGTTGTGGCTTACACAGTGGATCCTGGAGTGAATAGCTCTTTTCTGAAGCATAGTAGGAGAGAATGCTGTGTATGGAGGCCAGGTAGCAGAAACCTTTCTCTTAAGTTACTTGTTTCCTTTCACCTTTGGCCCAGAATTTTCTCCTTCACTTTCCTTCTTTGTTTCGTTTTCCCATTCTCTGTCACTGTTTGTCCTAACAAGCTACTTATTTTAGGGCATTGCATTTTCTCACTTGTACAGCTCTTTAATCTTAATATACATATGTATCTTTACCAAAATGCTTGTTTTGTGTTTTAAAGTGGTTTAAGAGTTTCTTTTGTTGTTTGAATGTAAGTATCTCAGTCTAGGAAAGAAACCCTAAGTATGTCAACATATTAATAATAGTTGAACTTGAGGCATTTGGATTATTATATATTATATACCATGTTCTATATGGTAATTTAATTTTCTCCTTCTACTCTTCTGTAATGTATTATATGAAGCATGTTACTTTTTAATATGTTTTCATTAAAAAAGCAACATATCATGCTAGTAGTAGAATATTCATGCATTCAAATATATAAAGTATTAATGAAATTTCCCCTTGTTCCATTTCTGCTTCTAGAGTTTGTTTTGTTTTTCCTGCATGGGTATATTATTTTTTATTTTACCCACAAACTCTCTTCCTTACAGTTTAAATCTATGTTATGGTACTTCTAATGTCGATCCTTTTATTTAACTTTTTTTCTCTACCCTTCTTCCAGAGATAAGGGAAATCAACCCCATTTTCACCTTTGAAAAACTTCTCAAATATCTCTAAGAACAATTTGATGTGTTTCTTACAATTCTGTTTTATTCTCCCAGCACTTCTTCCATCCCAGAGCTTCATTATACACCTTTCCTTGGCGTATATGAGTAAACAAACTTGTTTACTCATCCTGAAATGGTTTCAGCATTCATATTAATCAATTTTGAATCAGTTGTGTTTTCAGACTATAAAATATAAAACTGAACTTGACTATGTGTCTTGATCTTTGTATAATTATATGAGAATGCTAACAGTGGTAGTCTTTTCTGGTTTGATGTTAGTTTTTTAAACTTAGTCTGTTTTCATTCTTAAGCCTTTTGTTCTGGTTTGATTGCAGGGTTGTCGTTTTGGAAAGTAGGCCAACAGAAAACCCTACTGCACACAGCAATCTTTACATCTTGGCTGGACATGAAAATAGTTACTAAGCAACAGAGACTGATCGCAAATGACAGGAAAATGAATATGCTCTATTGAAAACAAAAATATTTTAAGGATATTCAGTACAACCTACACTATGATTTGCTTTACTGTTATGGGTTATATCTTGAATGATCTGTACTTTAAGGTAGAATTCAATATTTTCTGTAGCTGGAAACAGCTATTCTATCTCTTGCCACTGTGTGGTGGTTATATCAAGTTTGCTTAATAAAAGCTATGAGACAAATAGTCCTCTAGTTCCAGGAAACACAGTCTTTTAAAAAAAAAATTATGTTTGTAACAAGGGTGCCATGATATTTTTAGATTACAATTTATGTGATTATTTTCAGATAGACAAATTTATTGAGTTTTGTCATTTTATACCATGTTTTATTCTTTTGTAATGAACATTTGATAAAGAAATTATCAAGTAAGCTTTTCACTTTTCCAAGGGCCATTCTGTATGTTTTTGTAAAATAGAATATTTAATCCTTATTTATTAATCTTTTGCTGGAGTGGTGTAATGTATCTATCTATCTAACTTTTGGCAAAGGGTGGTTGCAGCTTAAATTTTTTTATAATGTATGAAAATTTTGTTTACTTTTTAAGAGTAGTCTTAGGGATGTTTAAACACATTGTAAAAGTTCAGTACATACATTCAATTTTGTCTAACACAGTATTTAGTAATATAGTGTCATGCAGACTTGCTATAAAAGAGTTTTGTATCTTCAACTATAAATAGTTGTAGGGACTCATACAGACGATATTAATGATTATTGAAATATTGTTAGAAGCAGTGTGTATATCTAAATGTGACTACCATGTGTATGTATTCTTGACAAGCAGTATAATACATCTGTGATTTTTTTTTATATTAGGGACAGTGCATAAGAAATTAATCATTATATATTATCATCCCTAATGGGAGGGGGGAGTATTTATCTGCCCGTGTTATGTATTTTACTTATACTATGCCAGAGGGGACACTGTAAAAGGAACTACATGTTTTATCTTGGGTTTTTCACATATTCACTTTGAGTAGATTTAAGAAAAAACATCTTTAAGTGAAATTGAATTCCTGATGGGATAGTATTAGTAAGTATTATAAAAACCAGTATTCTAAAAATAAGAACAGATAGGGCCATTTTTGAGTTTGTTTCTCTGTTGCTATTATTAACATTCAAATATAAAGTGTCACTTTGGTACCTGTTACCCTAATGCATTTACTGAGAATAGTTAGCATTATGGTCATGAACAGGGGGTTAACAGTAGCAAATTGTGGGTTTATTCTCACCAGTTACTTAAGAGGAAAACAGTATAACTGTCGCAACAACTCAATAAAATAGGTAGTATTATCATCTCCATGTCTCATATGAGGAAATAAGGGGTTGGCAAGGTTAAGAGATTGACCCAATTCACACAGCAAGTAGTTGAGCCAGACCATGAGTCTTGTGACTCTGTTCTTTTCACTATGCAATATACAAACAATAAAATATTATACAAATGAAATACAAAGTATGTGTCCTTTAAAAGTGTACATGATATGATTTCAGTAGGTTTGTGACTGTTTATTTGGGATACATTAAATGGGACCTCAGTCAAAACAGGAAATATTTACATACTGGATACATAGACCAATATCCTCTTCTCTCAGTCCTGGTAGCCAGATCATCCCATACTAACAGTATTGCAGGAGTCAGTTCTGTGCAGTCTGGAATAATTTCTGACATCAAAGGTGTCTTAAACTGTACAGGTACATAACTGTAGTGAAAGTTAGAATTGAAATGCCCACCACCACAATCCATCCAGTGCCTTTAGTCCTATGTTATTAAAAATGAAGGGGATGGAAATCAGTGTCGTAAAACATCTGAGGAAAAAAGCAGTTGGGTTCCAAGGAAAGCATCTGTAAGAAATATTTTATGCAGGCTGAAGACAGTTATCAAGAGACAAAAAATTAAATACTAAACAAAGGACTTTCAAAAGACAAAAAGAGCTCTTGGGAAACAGTGAGATAGCATAGCTAAGTAATTGTATAGGAGACTTATAAAGTTGAAATTTTTCAGAAAATAAAACAAAAAGAAATGGGCATACTGGAGTATATGAGAAAATAAGCCAAGAGGTCCAATACCCAGTCTCCCAGCACTCCAAAAAGAAAAGAACACAAATCAATAGGGTATTTCAAGAAATGTTTTCAGTACTGAAGAACTCCAGATTCCAGATTAAAGGGTGAGATAAACAAACACAATGTATAGTAAAGTACACAGTTTGGAAATTTCAGAGATACTGGAGTCAAAGAGATTTGATATGTTATAAGGAAAAGAGAAGGTCAAACATCAAGGAATATCAAATTTCAACAGAAACAGTGCTTTCAAAATGCTAAAAGGATTTTCAACCTAAAATTTTAGATACAAATGAGCTATTAATCAAATCTAAGGTTAAAGGTAGACATTTTTAGTTGTACAAGATATCAAAGACCTTACTCTGTGTGCTTCACAAAAATATGGATATAATCCAGAATGAAGAAATAAGGTGCAAATTCAGCACAGCAGAGAAGGAATGGAAGTCTCTAGATGATAGTCATGGGATAGGTAAGAAGACTAAGAACAAAAAATGGAAGATTTGGAAAGGAATGAAGATGTCATTATTTGAAGTAAATTACAAGTGAATTTAGAAAAGCTACTGAGTACATTTTAAACAAGCAATTTTATACTCATATGTCTGCAACAAACAACATGGAATTATATTTATAATATAGAAAACCATCAAATACCAAAGGGGAACTAAAACAACATGCAAGACCTCTATAATTAAAACTAGTGTACTGAAAGGAAGTAATTTCACTTTAAGAAATAAAACCTGGTAGATTATGCCAGGATCGTGAATTAGAAGATCTGATAGTGTGGGCCCTCCTTGAAGGCGCAACAGGTTAGGATGCAGCACTGCAAACCAGCCACAGCCACTTCAGTGTGAGTTTGATCCCCTGCCCTGGAGGTGATCCACTTGGCAAACAGACCTCTTCGGTCTTTCCCCCTGCT